AGAGTCAGAGAGGGCAGCTCTTTACAGGTAGAGTTTTTTCTTTCTTGGTAACTGCGGTCATTGACAACGCTCTGCGGGTGTCGTAATCGGCTCTGCGACACAGTGAGGGACGCATGAATCCCGTGACACAACGAATCGATAATGAAATTCGTTGCCAATGCTTTTAATAATTGATTTTTATCTACTTTATCGATTGGTTGTTGCAGCCCTAAATTCAAACGAAGCTGTAGTGGGGTAGAGACGTCTGATTTAATAGGAAAATACTTTTAAATATCATCAATGTAACGATGAAAGAAGATGCGCTTAAATATTGGTCAAAAGCCAGCATGTTTAAGCATAAAATAAAAGATCCCAAAATGGAGCCTTGCACCGCAGCAAATAGGTGCTGAGGATCCTAATAAATGTGTTTGTTTTCCAGTTCCCCAGTGTTGTTGTACAGTGGAGGGATGCCAAGAGCCAGCTATGGGGACCGGCACTGTCTGACCGTCCAGCAGGACAAAGAGCACGTCACTTTGGACTTCACGTCTCGAGTGATTGATTTCTTCACTGTCCACAACACGGACCCAGAGAAAGGTCTGATCTGTGGCTTTATCATAGAAGCTCCCTCATCTTCGGTCCAAGAATCCTCCAGTTTTTATCTCCTCCTCCTCCTCCTCAGAGTTTGACGACCCGTCGGCTTTAGTCGTGTTACTAGAAGAGGAGCTGGTCGTGATCGATCTGCAGACGCACGGGTGGCCCTCCCTGCCGACCCCCTACCTCGCTCCTCTTCACTCCTCAGCCATCACCTGCTCCTGCCACATCACCAGCGTCCCTCCCAAACTCTGGGAGAGGCTAATAAATGCAGGGAAAGCACAACGAGGGCGCCAGCACACGCACATGGTGGGTAGACTTTAAATCTTTTCAATTTTAGTTTAGTATTAATTATAAAAAAATGCGTAGTAAAAAAAAAAATCATCCCTATGCTTGTGATTGTTTAATTGGTTTAAAGTAATCTGGATGTTCAGTTATAGGAAATACGAACTGCCTAATCTTCCTACGTGTTTGTGAGGTTCTGCCACTGTTTAAGGCTCAATGCAGACAAAATTTGTACCTGATGAAGTGAACTTATAAYCATCAGGACTATTAGCTTGCACAGAAATAAACTCTTTGTGCCATTTGATTTGAGCTCCCAGGGAGGGAAACTATGGAAGCGATTGTGTTCCATAATCCTAATTAAAATGGATTAATAGAAATGCTGTTTCATTTTGAACATGTACCTGATTTTTTTGACTCATAAGTAAAATTATAAATACATAATCCAAACTGTATGTTCATTTTCTTCTCCAAGACTGCTCAAAGTG